TATATATATATATATCGACGCGCTCAACAGCTAATCTGGCACGTGAGGCAAGTGGCAGGATCTCCTCCAACTCTTTGCTCCCGCTGGGCTGCTCCTGGTCAGGTCAAGGAGCAAACCATCGGCTTAAAGCTGGTGCCCATCCAATGCTTGGGAACTACACGAACTGCGAACTACGTTCGAGGAACCAAGCAGTAAGCAAAACAGGCCCAATTCTCGTATAAAATAGCAAAAGCTGGCCTCCACAACCAATGATTGGTCTTGTGCAGCTTGCGCTTCCAACTCGGCCACGCGAGTGTGAGCAGCTGACAGCTTCGCCTGCAACTGCCTCAGCTTCCACATGCTTCCACCATCTTCCACCGTTCGACTTCTGATGGAAGAGCACTTTGCCCACAGGCTTTAGATCATCTAAGACTGCAAGGCTCAAACCAGCCAAACCGGTTCAAGTCTCGAACTCATTCACTATAATATCAATTTCCGATGGGATCTGCATGAGTGGGGGCACGTCACACGTCTAGACTTTGCTGCATTCCAGAGTGCGACGAGAGCTACCAGCAGTGAAATACATGCGATCTATTTGGATATGGAGGCCCTTGAAAGGGAGTTCATTGTGGGAGTACTATGGGTGGCCTGCCAAGTGGCATAATCTCCTCAGACTCTTTGCTTTCTGAGGCCGCACGCTCCTGAAGGGTTGAGCAACACTCTGACGTATAGTCATCATGTCTCTAAAGAAAGCTTCATTGGATTCAAGTGGCAAGAACTGGTATACCTATTGCATCTGACACCGTGTAAGTTTCAAAATCCAACAACTCCAAACTATTCTGTCTTTGAAGCCTTCGTAGATCCTGGATGAGTTCTTTCAACCCCTCCATGCAGTCAAAGCGGCAGTGGAGATCATGGACACTTCCGGCACAGACGGAGCAGAGGAACTCGCCTTGTGTGACGTGACAATTGAGAGGGCTTCAACATGCTACAAGCCGTTTATAGACTCTCTCTGCAAGATTCACTGGCACCATACTGTATAAGGCCAACAATTGAGCATGCGGGCTCCTCATGACTGACTACCTCAAAGCTAGGAGTACCGTGACTAGGAATACCGTGAATACCTCAAAACAATTTTATGACTGGCTCCGCCTTGTATAAATTTTTATGGACTGCTGCCCAAAATCAAACTAGTGACTTAGTGCCAATGTTCTCTTACTTTATGGACAGGTCGCCCACGACTCGCTAGTGACAATCTTCTCGTTACCCTAACAACTTGTTTTGGCACAAGAGGGAAGGCGCACAGAAGCTGCTGACGAGATTGCCATGCCCTGGTTAGCAAAACTGTTCCCAGGTTGGAATTGTGAGCGTGGAAGAAAAAACATAGTATATAACCTCCACCCTTCTATATAGTAGATGGACCAAGTCCTTCTCACGAAATGCTTTCAAGAACAAATATCCCAAATCTCCAAGTAAATCCGTGGCACTGGTGCCTGCACATCACCGAAGTTGAAATCATCCCAGCCGTCATCACCTGTCAAACTTGCGACCTCACCTCAGCACCTAAATCCAGACTGAGTCTAGATTCTGCATCAAAATGGCCGATGTATATAAAATTACTTTATACCGTCCCCCCTGCAGAACTCCTGAAATCCCAAAGGTTATCTGTGGCAAGCCCCAGTTTAAAGAACCATGAAATGGGATATCAGATCTGACAAATCAACCCGTCTTGAAGATGCTTGACGCCATTTGACCTGTCATAAATATATATATATATGTATATATGTATAAATATATAGATAATTATAGATACGTATATCTATATAATATATGGGTACCAACCAACGAAGCAACTGCAAGAAGAATACTGTAGGTGCTGCATGCAGACCCCATCCACTGCCTCCATCCTCTCCTTTGGGCTTGGAAAGGTCAAGCGAAGGCTTTACCTGCTGAGACAAGGATTTGATTGTGTTTGACCACTGCGAAGATTGAACATCGGCATACAGTGTATATAGCCTGCCCTTTTCATGAGAAGGAATGCTGTGACTACCTCAGAAAAAAAGATTGAGACAGCTTCGCCGTGTATTGAACTTTATAGAGCGTTGTCAGCGTTGTCCACAATTCACTTTGCTCCCAGGTTAGCACTCGCATCAAGTTGCGGAGCACCTCATTGACTCCTTTGGCTCCCTTCGGATGAGAAAGAAACACATAGTAACTTCCACCCTCCTATACTATTAAAAAAATTGAGCGTGTTTGCGTGATCCTCCGTGGTCGATGTTGTTCCCGCGAAACGCTTTCAATCCCAAATCTCCAAGTAAATCCGTGGCGCTGGTGCCTGCACATCACCGAAGTTGAAATCATCCCAGCCGTCATCACCTGTCAAACTTGCGACCTCACCTCAGCACCTAAATCCAGACTGAGTCTAGATTCTGCATCAAAATGGCCGATGTAAAATTACTTTATACCGATACCCCCTGCAGAACTCCTGAAATCCCAAAGGTTATCTGTGGCAAGCCCCAGATTGAAAACCATGAAGTGGTATATCAGATCTGACAAATCAACCCGGCTTGAAGATGTTTGACGCCATTTGACCTGTCATATATCATATAGGTAGATAGATTCATAGATAGATAGATAGATGCCAACCAACGAAGCAACTGCAAAGAGAATACTGCAAATGCTAAATACAAACCCCGTCCACTGCCTCCATCCTCTCCTTTGGGCTTGGCAAGGTCAAACGAAGGCTGTATCTCCTGTCAGATAGAGAAACCTATTACTGTTAATTTTGCTACGAGGTTGGAGAGCCAAGGACCTACAGTTTGCATCGGTATCTTGCCTGTATATTCTGTTACACTTGCAATATCTTGCAATGCGCCGTCTTAATTCTAAGGATCATGACGTGGAATACCGTGAATACGCAAAATCATTTCTGTGACACAGCAACAACCTGCTACGAGTCCAGCGGGAGATCTCATCAGATCTAAGCTGGGCCTGCGGAGGCTCAGCATTTGTCCGAGAACGAAGTTCGTGCAGCTCGTGCTCCAGCTCAACAACGCGAGCCTGTACAAGTACTCGGTGGGTCGTGCCCTGCCAATTAATTTGCAGTACACAATTCTTGCAAAGTCGTTTCAAGGCATTCTGTGTTTGTGCCATGAAGAGCAAGAACAGCAAGAACATGTCGGTGAAATGAAATGAAATATGGGAGAGCTGAGGTGAGGCGAGGGACTTTAAACATCTTTAAACTCTCAATATGGAACGAACCGCTAAGCCGCTGGATCGAGACTGCTAAGCTGGTAAGGCTGTGGCACGAACCTCTTTCAAAATGTTCAAACTATGTGCACACAAGAACTCTCTATTCGTCACCTCGATTTGTGCATCCGCCCTATACGTGAGTGATACTTGGACCTTCGATGCACAATTATATAATGCTCTGAACGTGCACCCGGAGGATGTTTTTGGCTGCAGGCTCAAAGCAAAATCCAACCATCATGGCTCATGACCACATAGCACGACAAAATCTTCCGACTTCGACTCAACCCCTACATTCTGAACGCTACCAGTATTAGGTAGGTGCTCTCGAGCCCCATAGTGGTTGGCCTCAAGGGCCAAAGGGTTGTCTTGGGCAGCTTGCGCTTCCAACTCGGCTACGCGAGTGTTAGCGGCTGACAGCTTTGTCTGCAATTGCCTCAGCTGCGCCTTTCCACCAATCGAAAAACGCCCTCACAATACTCAAAAGGCCAGCACAAAGAGGAAAACACAAACAAAGCAGCTGAATTCCGAAGTTTGCCAAATGGCATAAGGTCATCCGAGTCTTCGCTGACCGCTTTGTTCCGCTCCTGGTTGGGTCTAGCAACCGGATGGCAGCAAACGAATCTTAACATCAGTTAGTACATACCAGAGACATACGAGACACACAACAATAGAAAACAACGATCATACAGTCAAAAACACTCGAGTCTGCACTGATTAATACAAGACTGCACTATCTGGCCTGGAAAGGACAAGGTTGACCTTGGTTGGCTTGCGCTTCCAGCTGCTCGACCCGTGCATGAGCAGCTGACAGCTGTGCCTGCAATTGCCTTGGCTTCGCGAAATCAAGGCGGACCTTGCGGAGCAATGCTCAGATCAAGGTGTTTTCAATCTTGCTGAGTGAAGGGACAGTATGATTTCCTCCAACTCCTCGCTGGTTGCACGGGGCGACCCCTCCTGTGAAGAGAGGAAGTCGTTTCTTCCGCAAATCCACTTATGGAGAAGCGTCACAAATCAAACAACACCGAAGCAATATGGCTCACAGCTAAGTATATATATATATATATATCCAGCCTCGGAGCCCAAAGGTTCATCTTGAGCAGCCTGCGCTTCCAGTTCAGCCACACGAGCATGAGCAGCAGCCAGTTGTGCCTGCAATTGCCTCAGGTCGATGAAGAGACTCGTCCAAAGCGTTGCAAGCCCAAAAGAGTGCAGCAAAATCAAAGTGAACAACAACAACAACAGAAATGCAGAAAACAATGCTCAACCCTTAGTGTGGCAAGTGGCGTAATCTCGTTCATGTCTTTGCTCGTGTTGGGCTGTTCCTCGTCAAATCAAGAAGAAAACCAGCTTACCAGTTGCTTCCCCTGGGTCTTTTCAGAATCTTCTGCTACCCTTAAGGTGCACTTTAAGATACAGGCAGTCTTTGACCACACTTCCATCTGAAGAAAAAGCAAGAACCCCACCCGCCCCCACAGCCCCCGCACGGTCAGAACATCATCTTCTAATGTCTTAGAAACACATACAAACAATGCCATGCACTTTTGCCCACCTCTGCCCCAAGTTTGCAAACAATTGCGCAATACTTGTGGGTGCTCGACAGTGTGTTGACGACCCATGGTGGCCCGGCATTCTAGAATCTTAATGAATCTTACATCCTTGCCAGCACAGCGGCTGTCGTATTCAAACAAGTTGATGCTTGGAAGGCTCAGTGTCAGCCTAGGTCCACAAATTGAAATCCAAAGCTGGCCTCCAGGGTTTGTGCAGATTGTGCTTCCAACTCGGCCACGCGAGTGTGAGCAGCTGACAGCTGCGCCTCCAACTGCCTCAGCGTCCACATGTTTCCACCATCTTCCACCGTTCGACCTATGGAAAAAGCACTTTGACCACTGCTACCCAAAGGCTCCAATCGGCCAAAACCAGTTCATCGCATTGCCCGCACAGGTACATGCTTCAGGTCACTAGAGCTGACGTGTTCACGCTTCGCTGGTTCACGCCAGTGCGGGAATGACCGGCTTTCAGCAGAAAGACAAAAAATGGCCACAACCAGTTCGGTATCTGCGCGACTGAAAATGTCTGGATTTTCATGCACTTCAAAGTTCGGCGTGAACAGCCCATCGTGAACTAGTTGGGTTTGGGATGGTTTTGGGTTCAAGTTGGATCTGGAGTTCAGCCCGCGAGTACTATGGGCGCCCGCCAAGTTGCAAAAATTCCTCATACCCTTTGCTCTCTGAGGTCTTGTGCTCCTGACAACAGGTTGGCGCATGACGTGTTTCATTGTCGTCACATCTCTCAAAAATTCAATTGGCTTCAGCTGGCAAATGTTCCATCAGCAACGCGATCGGGCTACAACCGGACGTCTTCCAAGCTGGTTAGCCTCTTGGGAAGCCTGTGCTTCCAGTTCTGCCACACGAGCATGACTAGCTGCCAGTTGTGCCTGCAATTGCCTCAGGTCGATGAAGAGTTTTATTTTGCTAGAAGCAATGCAAGACAATGAAGAGTGCACCATCACCCGCGTCAAGAAAACAACGGAAAGAATGCAGAAAACATGCTCAGCCCCTTTGGCCAGTGGCGTAATCTCTTTCATGTCTTTGCTCCCGTTGGGTTGCTCCTCGCCAGATCAAAGAGCAAACCAGAATACAAGTTGTTTCCATGCTTGCCGATGTACTTTTAGAATTTTCTGCTCTCCCAAAGGCCCTGGGTCTGATGGGCTGCAATGCACTTTTCCCACCTCTTCCCCAAGTTTGCAAACAATTGTCATTGTCCAACGTGGGTGCTCGAGAGTTTGTTGAGTCGCCCGGCATTTTTAGAATCCCTCTATGTGTCAGTGCGACTTGAAAGGCATTTGATTAAAGTGTACGCAGCGTTGCGGTGTTGGGTTTGTGACCACTACACGCTTCTGGTACCCTGAGTGACCAGAACTCTCACACAGCCACGCAACGCAGCTCCACATCGGCCCCCGACAGAAATCTACAATATTTACAGTATCTACTTTATAGAATGGAAACTGGTAAGAGGAACAAGAACAGGAATCAATCGCGCCCGATAGTTGAATCTTCACATACCCCATTACAAATTGAAAAACCTGGCCTCCAGCACCACAGGTTTGTCTTGTGCAGATTGTGCTTCCAACTCGGCCACGCGAGTGTGAGCAGCTGACAGCTGCGCCTCCAACTGCCTCAGCGTCCACATGTGTCCACCATCTTCCACCGTTCGACCTATGGAAAAAAGCACTTTGACCACTTTTACCCAAAGGCTCCAATCGGCCAAAACCAGTTCATCGCATTGCCCGCACAGGTACATGCTTCAGGTCACTAGAGCTGACGTGTTCACGCTTCGCTGGTTCACGCCAGTGCCGGAATGACCGGCTTTCAGCAGAAAGACAAAAAATGGCCACAACCAGTTCGGTATCTGCGCGACTGAAAATGTCTGGATTTTCATGCACTTCGAAGTTCGGCGTGAACAGCCCATCGTGAACTAGTTGGGTTTAGGATGGCTTTGGGTTCAAGTTGGATCTGGAGTTCAGCCCGCGAGTACTATGGGCGCCCGCCAAGTTGCAAAAATTCCTCATACCCTTTGCTCTCTGAGGTCTTGTGCTCCTGACAACAGGTTGGCGCATGACGTGTTTCATTGTCGTCGCATCTCTCAATAATTCAATTGGCTTCAGCTGGCAAATGTTCCATCAGCAACGCGATCGGGCTACAACCGGACGTCTTCCAAGCTGGTTAGCCTCTTGAGAAGCCTGTGCTTCCAGTTCTGCCACACGAGCATGACTAGCTGCCAGTTGTGCCTGCAATTGCCTCAGGTCGATGAAGAGTTGTATTTTGCTAGAAGCAATGCAAGACAATGAAGAGTGCACCATCACCCGCGTCAAAAAAACAACGGAAAGAATGCAGAATCCATGCTCGGCCCCTTTGGCCAGTGGCGTAATCTCTTTCATGTCTTTGCTCCCGTTGGGTTGCTCCTCGCCAGATCAAAGAGCAAACCAGCATACAAGTTGTTTCCATGCTTGCCGCCGATGTCCTTTTAGAATTTTCTGCTCTCCCAAAGACCCTGGGTCTGATGGGCTGCAATGCACTTTTCCCACCTCTTCCCCAAGTTTGCAAACAATTGTCATTGTCCAACGTAGGTGCTCGAGAGTTTGTTGAGTCGCCCGGCATTTTTAGAATCCCTCTATGTGTCAGTGCGACTTGAAAGGCATTTGATTAAAGTGTACGCAGCGTTGCGGGGTTGGTAACCTGAGTGGCTAGAGTGACTAGAACCCTCACACAGCCACGCAACGCGGCTCCACATGGCCCCCCAAAACACCACGCCAGGCACGCATACGGTATTTATGTAGTACTGCAATAATAGCCCCACATAAGCCTGCTCCCTCTCACCCTCTCCAAAGGTTTCTCTATGATTTCCCACGTGTAGAGTTTTGAAACACCGCATTCATCTGCATCCGTGACATCTCCAGCATATTAAGCATCTGGCCAAATCTTGAGCTCGGGCCCGGGGCATGGGAAAAGTCTGCTGCTGCACTCCATGCACGTGACCGACTGCGGGTGATCTTGACTAATGCTAGATCCATAGCTTGAAGTAGCTTGGAAGCCCCCCCATAAACATAAGAGGCCCTTCACACTTTTATCATCTACACTGTACACTACAGTATCCACATTCAGAAACTGGAAAGGGTCCTTGAATCTGTGCATTTAATAAGCTACTGTACATAATTTTATGTTCACATACCATCACACATCCAATATCGAAAGCTGGCCTCCACAACCAATGACTGGTCTTGTGCAGCTTGCGCTTCCAACTCGGCCACGCGAGCGACAGCAGCTGACAGCTGCGCCTGCAACTGCCTCAGCTTCCACATGCTTCCACCATCTTCCACCGTTCTACCCATGGAAGAACACTTGACCCAAGGCCCAAGATCATCTAACATTGCAAGGCTCAAATCGGCCAAACCTGTTCGAGTGTCGAGCGTGTTCACTATTATATTATTTAACTATAAATGTCCGATGGAACCTGCGAGACTGGGCCAAGTGTCACAATCTCCTCGGACTCTTTGTTCCCTGAGGCCGCACACTCCTGAAAGGTTAGGCAACACACTGACCGATACTCTTCTATGACATGCTTCATTGTCATCATGCATTTGGACGGTGAGTCTGGGTAGATACTCAAGATGCCAATTGCACACAGGAAGCCCTCTGAGCTGATATGAGTTCTAACATGTCCAAGAACTCAGAAATGGTCTCTGGAAAGAACCCTCCATGCAGTCAAAGCGGCATTGGAGAACATGGACACCGTTGGCACGGAGGGAGCACAGGAACTCGCCACCTTGTGATGTGACAAATGAGACGGCTCTAACATATTTATAGACAGGGCTCCTCCGTGGTCTATTGATGCTGGTTCGCGCTCAACACTTTGCAGCCCTGAATGAACGACCTAAATAAATCTTTCATTTCTGCTTTCAAACCCAAAGCTTA